ATATACCACTTGTTCAAGGTTATTCTGGCTGTGATATCTTCAATCATGTTCTTAAGTGAGCATCATTCACTTTGTCATTCCATCTAAGTGTAACTGATACTGCACTTGATGAACGAGGCAGCTACACAGAGCCAACTATACATAGGAAAGTGTCCCATTAGCTTTCCACACAAGATGTTGCATTGCATCATGACCTCAGGAACTCCAGAAATGTCATCTCCAATTTTGCAAGCCCAAAATACAAGCACTGTTTGATAATTGCTCTGTGTCCTTGCAATTCAGCCCAAAGTTAGCCAAGTGCTGTTTCACGTGGTCTACAGAGATTTTTTTTTCAATGTGTATTATGTACATCAATATATGCAGATGTTGCCCATCAGACAGACTCATTCTCTGACAGTACAGCATCTATAATAATTATGGCTATTGCAACTTTCAGTCTGAATCCCATTCATGCTATGCAGTGTCTTTGCTCCTTGAAAATCATGGTTTGAATGAGTCGGAGGGATTTATGAATATCCACCTGCAGGTAGGCCTGTTGTAGTTCAAGTATAGCAATATTGGAACCTTTTTGGCACTATTCCCTCAGTCTCTGTGCATATATGTCAGTGTTGCCTGTGTGAATGTCTTAAGCACCTGTTTAGTTTCTGATAGTCTAACATGTGCTGTACTTTGTTTTTCTGCACTACAACCATCAATGTGATCAAGACAATTGTTGGGGGGGGGACCAAGTTCCATTTCAGGATAAGGCTTCAATCCCCCATTATTCAGCCATGTCAGCAGTTTGTGTTTGTATTCCTCCTTGATCTCTTTTGGTATGCGATAATTGAGTATCCTCTTCCACAAATTCTTTGATGTTTGACTACCTGACCATTTTCATGATGTGACACAAATCTACTTGTCTTTTTCTGCATTTTCAGAGATGATAATTTCATAATGGTATTTTTAAAATTTTTTGCACTGCAAGTTGTCTCCTTACACATATTGAAATAGTATATTTTAAAGAAAAAAAAAGACTCTCCTCAATTTGGTGGACTTAAGATAGGGTTTGAAGTTGTCTTTTACAAAAAAATTTCCAAGTTGAAAACTTTAGCTTAATAGAAATTCAACACTTAAAAAAAAAAAAAAAAAATTGACAAGTTAAAAATTGCATATTGCATATTTTCAAAAATTAGGTACATGTATAAGAAAAGGTATTCATATTACAGAGAAAATAACTGTTTTATTGAATTCCTCAAAGTTTCAGGTACCTCCCAATTTTTTAATGTAAAGTTCATGATGGGTATACTTTTGACCTGTTTTTGCACTACTGTTAAATTGTGCTTCTGGCTATTTTGCCTGGTGTAAATATAAAATTTTTATTGATGAACTACTGAAAAAAAAATTAGCTTCATCTCGGTTGTTATGAATCACAAGAAGAAGTTGTAAGGTATTAACTGTGGAAATGAAACTTACATGAAAAGTCAAAATTGCTCTTCTGCGTCCTGTTTTAACTTTTTGTTTTGGAGAAGGCAATTTTTCCCAATGGTCTGATCTAATAATTATTGATTCCATTAGTATTATATTTATTTTACTTCAAGATTACCTATATGACATTACATTTATGATTTCTAACTATTTTGAAACTTGCATTTTCAGTTATATACTGTTGAAATTAGCTTCTGGTCCAGTAGCACTAATGAACTTTGAATGATCATAACTTCATTGCTAATTGAGCTACCAAGATGAATTTGGTACATTTTTTATTTTTCTTTAATGTTTTGTCAAGCTCTTTATGCATGTATTAATGGTTTTTAGATATATGGAAAATGAAATTTTAGTTTGGGATACCTACTGACTAATAAAATCATTTATTAGTATGGGCGTATAAATTAAAGTGTATACTATGTATAGATTTATGTTTCTTTATATGCCAGTTCATCTTCCCACACTCATTAGAAGTGTTGCAGAACAAATCTTTAATGAAACCTCTATGTTGCCGGTCCCAGTAAAATAGACACTAAGGCTATTTTGTTGGTAAAATTGTTGTGTTTTAGAATGATTTTAACTTGTGTTGTAACAATTGATGATAGAAAAGATTTTAAATTGTCTTAACAATTAATGACAAAAATAAACTCCTGTGTTAAATCTGTGTGTTGTTATTTTTAATATTACTTACCTTCATAATAATAATGTTTATGGGCAAAATAGCCTGGGTGTGTATTTTACCAAGACCGGTAAAATAAACTTAAAAGCATATTTGTCAATTTACTGGGACTGATAAAATAGCTACTTTCTTTTTTCTTTGTATAAAGCAGGAAACTTCCTCTTGTTCTCTTCCTTTGTAAATAAATCATTGCAAAGTTACTTACATGTGGTGATGTGAAGGTAGAAATACATTCAAAGGCCTTTCAGGTTCATTGTTATAACAGTAGAAAAAGTAGATTCAATTCAGTGCTATCCATTTCCATATGATCTTGAGACCAAGTGCAACATCTGTTAGCTTCCTTCTTCCATGTTGAAAAGCTACAATAATTCAAAGCCTTGGATATCTGAAAAATCCTAATGTGCTTTAAGATTATATGAACCAGCAGTTAGTAATTGTTACTGTGTTTTCAGAAGCCATTGTCCACATCTTTCTCTAATAGATGTTCCATTAATCTATATTTTTGCTAAAGTTGGTTTGGTTGAGGCGGGCAAATATCTATAAGAAATTAAGTGAAATACATTACTATTTAAACTATTGTGTCATCATAATACTACTTTTAGTATTAATAAAATAAACTCACTTCTGAATATAATTCATTATAATTAAAATTATTGCTAGTATAGTTATTATCTATTTCATAAAAGACAATTTGCTTTCTGGCAACCTATTCATTCATTTGCTTAATATAACATTTTTATGAGTTGATATTTTCAAACTTTTATTAGAGACAATCTTGAATCTGTATGAATTCAATTGTCATTTTAAAGTGTCAGTTACCCAAATCCATTTTATTTAGTTCCTGGTGCTGCCAGGTCACTTTGACTGAATATCCTGTACTTATATTGTCAATGACATCTAATAAATAACCACCTATTCTAAAGATAATAATCATTGGCCAGGTACTTAAATTTTGACTCTCTTCTCTTTCAGTATATACAACACTTATGAGAATTTATGGTTATCTGAGACCCCCCACCTCAACCTGTTTGTAATCTTTGTCCTTGTTATAAAATCTTTATGCAATAAAAAATAATGTATGTTTATTTAGACCACTTTGACATGGGCAATGAAAAAAATAACTGGAGGGAAGGAATTTTTTTTTTTTTTTTTTTTTTTAAAAATCAGATTGGATCTTGAGCTATTGTTTCTGATATGACTTCAGTATATTTTATGTAGGGACATGAATTTTATTTCATATCTTGTCTTGAAAGTGGCATAAGAAATGTCATTTCTTGACTGAAGAGTTTTGAGAAATTTATATCTAGCCCTTGACTACAGGATTTTATCAAAATAAAGGTAACACCTACCATATATACTCGAGTATAGTGAGGGTTTTTATGATCAGTTTTTATGCAAACATAGGGAGTGGCACTATGCACAGATAAATTTTTCTGGAGAGATTAAAATTCATGCAGAAAATTCAAGGGTTACACTATACACAAACTTGGCTTATACACAAGCATATACGGTATATTTGATTCTTCATAGATAGAATAATATTACCTTATTTACCCTGTCATTTTAAATAGCAGTGAATCTTGTATAAATAAAATTGACTAAAGTTACCTTTTACTGGAATTTTGAAGATGAGGAATTATTATTATAATTATTATTATTATATGCCTTGCTATTTGGACCATCATGTTGGTTGACTTTGGACTTTCTACTCTTCTTTGGATTTTTGTCATTGTACTTGGTAACCTTCTTGCATAATCTAGTGAAGTTTTGGTGTCTTAAAACTTTTGTCTATACTCAGGTGGGGGATTATTATTATTTATTTTATTTTTTTTTTTTTTTGCATGCCCTTGCTTTCTTAATCAATGTCTTTTAGTATCTCTATCTGTCACCACAAGATTATCAAAGTGGCACATAACTTAATGGATTAATCATGTTTAGTTCTCTGGAAACTGAGTCAGATCTCTGTAGTGTTGAATAGTTACATGCTCTAGTTCATTAGAAGAAATGGGCAACCAACACAAAGGTGAATAAAACTAGTATTTTCTGGGACATGTAATGAGAAAGGAAGGCTTGGAAAATCTGGTATTCACAGGATGGAAAGAGGGACAAGAGAAAGTAAGGCATGACATACTTAGCAGGTTTAAGCAAGCAGATGGCAGAATAGGGTCTGGGAGAAGTAGCAAAAAGACAAAACTTATTGAGAACTACAAGGGATAGGAGGAAGTGGAAAGCCATGATTGCCTATGTCTTGAAGAGACACTGCACATAAAAGAAGTATTAACTGATATGAGTTATCTCCCCTAAGCATGGAAAGCAAAATGAGAACAATCTACTCCTGCTGACTGACTAAAGAATTTGGTTAAAGTTTACTAAGTATGATTGACATCTGAAGACAACCCAAATGTAACAATAACAATCAAGATGAACATGCTAGTTCAAATAGCAAGTATATAATAAGGTTACTTTACATTTTACAGTTGCAGCCAAAATCTTTCTTCTAATATTCTTTTAATAAAATATATTTCTACTTTTGTTATTTTTTTAATTCAAATACATGTTCTAATTAGCTATTATCTACATTTTTTTTTTTTTTTTTTTACTGAAAAATAAAAAAATCTTTGTTCTAAGATGAACAAAGAATTAGAAAAGCATGTTTTATGCCTCAAGATTTTTAATTGTGCACTCATTAAATTTTTAATGTACATTCTCTAAATCCTAGTAATGAATTTGCATACATTTGTATATAATGATTTAAAACCAATAATGACTTATTGAACTTAATAAAATGATTTAATGCTTAAAATCTTTTCTTTCAGTCAAGTTCTTGTATCATCATTTTATTCCTATCTTGTTTCAGAAAGACAAAATGGCTGATTTGGTGGCCAAATGGAAACACTGTGCCATCAGCCAAGAAACTTTAAGAACACCAGTTATGGGCTGTGAACTTGGCAAGTAAGTCATCTACTGTTTATTATATCTACACAGGTGGGTTATTCTATTTTTTTTTTATTTTATATAATAACTTTAGCTGGATGAACAAGGACATGGCCAGTGGATAAAAGCGTTAGCTGAAGTAATCCAGTGATTTCACCCAAAGAGTTGTGAGTTCAATACCTGGTCACTGCAGAAAAATTTGGCGAGTTAAGTTACTAAAGGGAATTAACTGAAACTGGGATATCCATAAAAGACATGGCATGGGAAACTAGAAAAATCTACCTTGGTTCAAAATTTTAATGTATACCTTCTGTAGAAGGCTGGAGTGTATGACGGCTGAAATGTTGTGAATATAACAGATGAGGACAACAGCCCAAACAATGTAAATAGTGTAAATGGTTACAATATCTCACCTCAGACAAATACAATGGATGAGATCTTCATTTAGCTTGGATCTTTAGGTTCTGTTCTGATAAATTTAATTTTTTTTTTATTTTTTTTTTATTCTTGTCATAATTGATGATGGATATTATACAGCAGTTTGATATGATTTCCTTAGAAAGTAGTGTTGGAAAAAGAAGTGAATTGTCCACACACTCTTTCACTTTTTGCCTTCCATTTATGGCTTGGCTTATTACATCACTAATTGAGTCTTGGAGAACTGGCTACTTGGTGTGTTAACTGATGAGTTATGGTTCCAGTTGTTTCAGGCTGATGGTAGATTTCAGTTATGGTATCTACCATATGAAGCCACGAACCCCAGTTGTCAACAACATTTCATAATGGTATGGGATTTGTTTATGTAGCATGGATTTAATCTGCCGGTCTATCTAAATGTATCATTGACCCATGAATGCTATGAGGTACTGATTAGTGATAATTTGCATCCATTCATATACCCCAATGATGATGCATTATTTTTTGCACTGTATCATCGGTTTCTAAAGTTAGCTAGAATTGGTTTTTAGACACATTCTTGAGACATTTGGCAAATGGTGTGGCCACTATGTTCACCTGACATCAACCCAATTGAGCATGTATGGGACATAGTGGAGTGGTCTATTTGCATGCAACATCCTACAAATATTGGGAAGTGTGGAGAGCTGCTCATTTTGCCCACATAATCCAGCTTTTCTGGTCAAGAACAACACACCACTTGTTTGATAGGCTCCCTACTCTCCTGACTTGGCACTGTGTGACATCTGGTTCTTCCCTAATCTGAAAATCATTCTGAGAAAGAAGCGATTTGAGTTACTAGATGAAATTATGAGAAAAGCAACAATGGAGCTCTATAGCCTTCCAGAGATGTTACCAGAAGGGGAAAAACCACTGGAAGAGGTCTGTGAAATCCTAATTTTGAAGGTAATTAAATAAAACTTTTGAAGTGGACAAAATGAAGTTTTTTTTTGTTTTTTTTGTTTTTTTTAAGCCCATAGGTTGGATACTTTTTGAACACACCATATTAAATTAATAGAAATGCATAACCCACACTTAAAAAAAAAAAAAAAAAAATATTGCAGTTTGAAATAGTGCTCAGTACTTTTTTGCTGTTTTCTATTTTGTTTTGTTTCCATCCTGTGTTGTATGAGAGTAGTACTAATTTCATTCATATTGGAATTTTTGTTTGTTTCCTACACTGTATTGTGTTAGCATAGTAGTAATCTATATTTGGGTTTTTGTTTAGTATTAAGAGCACAGTCAATATGCTTTCAAAGCAAATGATATTCAGTGTTGACTTGTTATTGGAAAGGTCTCTATTTAAACATCTTTTACAACTAGATGTTTTTAAAATGACAATTATTTACAAGGAATTTTCTTAAGGGTGTGATTGTTTCCTTAGACATCTGCTTAAAGAGCTATTTGTGTGATTTCAATTACATAACTACATATTTTGTTAAACATTTGTGGATTTAATAAAAATTGTTTTTATTGATATTTATCAATATTTCTTTTATTAAATTCATTGACAATGTAAAAGAACCTCAATAATTATTAATTACCAAATAGTTAAATTTTTCAGTTTGTCAGTAAATTTTTCTGCAATGAATTTCCTGTTTGCGATTAGCTGTGTGGTCCAATTTTGAATAATGGCTAAGCAGATAATGGTGAAACAAAATATTAGAAAGATAATGAATTGGTCTGTCTGATATCTATCTATCTCTCTGAGATGAGGTATTATGATTATTTACATTATTTGGACTGTTATCCTCATCTACAGCAGTGGTGAACCAAAAAACTTTGAGTTAAAGGGAGACAATTAAGACATCTGGAAGAGGCATGGCACATGAAATTAGAACAATCTACCCCAGTAGATGAAATAAAGGGTTCAGTTTGAAATTCCAATCACCTGAAGAAGGCTGGAGCATACAATGGTTGAAACGTTGTGAATATGACAATGAAGATGAGGATAGCGGTCCAAATAATGTAAATATTCTATTTGAATTTATGATTGGAGTCTTTTAGCTAAACTGGTAACAGTTCCCCTAAAACATTGCAGGCTCTGATGGGATACAAATTCTAATGTTGCTTATTTTTAATTCTTCATTTCTCTCCTTTTTTTTTTTTTTTTTTTTTGGTAACAATTGACAAAAATTATAATTATCATACACTAGCTGAACCCATGGAAATTCTACAGATATTGATAACTAAGATTATTCATTATCTCCCACTGACTCTTTGCCTCTACCTTCTCATTTTCTTCCTTATTCCTTCCATTCATTGCTGATCCATGTTTTTATGCAAAGGAAAAAAGAAAATCTAAAAGAATAAAGAATGCATACACACATTACATTCTTTTTTTTAACTTATGGCAAAGAAAAATCTTTTTGCCCTTTCTTATAGCAAGGAAAAACAGCATGTATTTATTGCTGCAGGCAGTGGAAATAGCTGACAAGTATTTGGTTGTGTCCTTCTGCTACCCATGCAAATGACTTTGTTATATTTAAGCTATAGCCTATTTAAGCCAAGCACAAGAGCAAGAGTTCCTCAGTGGACTTTCTAGTATGGCAAGCATGCTCACTTTAAGGATTTATAATATTATAATTTGCATTAGTTGTAATTTTGTATCATGATATGTGATGGCACAATTTTCAATAGTTGTTGTGACTTAAAGGTTTGGTTTGTGATGGTTCTAAGGTCGTGTCCAATTGTAACAGTTTAGGTTCACGTAGAAGGTTAAATTGTGAAGGTTCGTGGCTAATGTTTGAGGTGGTACACACAAACTTTTAAAACAGCCCCCCTCCCCAAATATCAGTGACTTTTAAGCCTTTCTATTTTTCACTCATTGTCTCTTGACAGCCAATAAGCCTGTATCTCTATATTCTTCTTTCCTTTCATCTCTCTATATATATACATATATATGCAAACAAGGAGTGTTGAAAAGTTGTTGGCCCAATCCATTTTCCAAAATATGACCAAACATCAAATTTTTTTTTATTTATTTATTCATAATCCCTTCTTGGTTGGGTTGAAATCTCTCTTGCACCCACTCTCTCTCACACACACACGCACACACTATTTATTAAAAAAAACTAAATGTGTTTAAACATAATCTTATCTAATTTGAGACATTGTGATATATTGTCTGAGCCATTAACTTTTTTTATTAATTGCCTTAAATTATTTTCAAGATACAAATAAAGCAGAACAAACCATTAAATTTTATATCAAATTTAGCATTTGAAAAGAAAATGATTTTTTTTTTTTTTTTAATGGTATCAACAATTTGTGATCTTTGAATTTTCATGAGTTAAAGAGGATTGGAAAACCTACTAGTATATATTATTACAGATGTAATCATCACAATATACAATATGCAGGTAACACTTTTGATTGCAGAATCAGAAGGAGAACTAAAAGAACTGTTAGACAAGGTAATCAATGAGAACAAGAAGAAAAGCATTAATTGTAAGAAGACAGAATACATGGCGATGAGGAAAAGGAGTAGCACAAGATGTGAGTTATGTATTGGGGATGTCAAAATGAAACTATTTTGGCAGTGTAATGATAGAAAGTATGAAACAAAAATGCAACAGTGTATAGGAATAATTTAATTTGTTGATTTAATGGCATATCAACTCCTTATGGTCATTTAATGCTGAAATTTAATTTTCTTGTGTGCTTTGAAGTAATAAAAATATGATGTTATTCTTCTTTCATAACTGATTACAGGTGGACGGTTTGACCAAAAAAAACAGCTTTTTTTGGTTTCATCTTCACACCATGAAACTGCATTGAAATTTTTTATGAAACTGAAATCGTTCATTTTATTTATTTATTTTTTTAAAGTGCTATCACTACTGAGTGACCATTACTAAAGAAGCACTATTGGAAAAAAAAAAAACTTTCAGATGTTAATAAAATTAAATTTTATCAAAATTTATGAGTGTACAATTTCAAGAATATTAAAGAATGGACACTTTGATTTTGCGAAACAAAGTAGTGTGTAAAATTTAGTCTAAAAAAAAAACAACGTATTTCGCATTTTCAGCTGTTTGAAGCAAAATACCATTTTAACTCGCTGTAAAAAAAATTATTCAATGAAAAAGCACACACAAATTACATATTTAGAAAAATTATTTTATTTTCTTTCTCAACATGAATATTTTTAAGATTGTGCCAGAAATACATGAGATATTGTGAGTTAAATGAACTAAGTTGCAAATTTATCAATCTCAAACGAAATCAGATATCGACTGGAAATGCTATCATTACACAAGAAAATGAATGGCTTTCTTAGAAAGCAAAAATACTAAATTAAAAACCAAAAGAATGAATCAACAACTGCAGCTTCAAGGGAAAAAACCAGAAACTGATACCAAAACATAAATTACCAAACCAACCAACTCTAGAATACATAGTAGATGATACTCAGTCTTTGTGCATATACATATTTTTTGTGGACATAATTACTAGAGGTTGTGATATCTGTTTTATTTCTTAAGAAATTTTAGGATATTATGACTTGATGTTATGAAAGAGTTCTTTAATGTTGGTTGTTTGATTTTGCTTAGCAGCATATCAACCTGTATAGGTTATTCAATACCAAAACCTAAATATTTTGATTGCAATTGTATGCCTTCAACTATGGATAAAATGTTTTGCTGGTAATAAATATGTAGTGTTGGTAATTTTTTATATATAAAAATGTTTTCCTGGTATTTTTGCTATAAAAATGTATTCTTAGTGGTTTTTTTTTTTTTTTTTTTTTTTGGAAGGGTCACTATTTACTCATAGCTGGGGCCCTAAAAGTTGTTGCTACCATCATGGGCCGGGTGGGGAGACTGATTTTAAAACTCACTCCTAGCAGTTACAATATTATATCTGGCTTAGGCTACTTGCTGTAACATTATTAATTCTTTCTCTTTGACAGACTCCAATGGACTTCTCCTGACTCACTTTGAGTTCTTTATTCAAGACATCTTGCCTAGTTCATTTGTATTACTGGGGGTGGGGGGGTCTTCTTTACTTCACAACATTCCCCAACTTTTGAGATTTTTTATTTTTTTTTTTCACTAGTAAATATTTTATTTTATTTCTTAGTATTCCCCCTCTCCTCTTTCTGGCGAGTTTGCCACATACAGAACTTTGATTTTTTTTTGTTTTGTGTCAACCTCTAGTTTCTCCACACATTTCTTTTTTCTGGTAATCATACTTATATGTTCAACGAATTCTTGGGGTGTTGATACATCAAAAATATTATACAGTACTGGCATAGGTTCTTCCTTTCTTACAGGCATTTCTTCAGTAAACCTTTTCTTTAGCTGATTCCAATGTCTTTTGTGTTCCCATTTTTTTCCTTTTTACCATATGAATTTTCCTATCTGTGACCATATTACACTGTCTTCCCACATTTCTTTTCCATTTTTATATACTCTGAAAAACACATTTTGCCAATTTTGAAAAATTTTGTGTCCTTTTTGTTATCCATTCTTTTTTTTTTTTTTTTTTTTGTGGACAGGACATCAATTCTGCTGGTGACATGCCTGTCAGTGTATTAGCATTTGGCATTATCTGGTATACTCTTGAGAATTTATGTTATGCTTCTTGGCTAACTTTTCATTACTTGCTTTTTTCAAAGCTCTCTTAAAAGTACCCACAAACTGTTCAGCTTGTTCATTTGACCTTGAGTGATACAGTGGGGTAGTAATATGTTCAATCGAGAACATTTTACAAAATTCTTTTAATTCATAGGCAGTGAATTGTGTATTGTTATCTGAGACTATGGCATCTGGAATGCCATATCTTGCAAACAACAATTCATGTAAAAAATTCACTGTAACTGTCAAAGTTGTTGTTTATATTTTCAAAATAAACATGTCTTGTTTTGCTTTTACTTTTATTTCTTCCAGGTTAACAGGTAGTTCATGTACTACATTGCATAATATAGTTTTAATTTCTATTTCACTTTTTAATGCTACAATAGTGGTGCCCTCAAATGGTTCAGTATTTTTTGGTATCAATCTTGATAAATCATCAGCATGTCCTAAGTTTTTGGACAGTTGACATTCCATCCTGAAATCATAATAAGTTGATATCCCAGCATTGTAATTTATTTACTGTATGCATAGAAATTCCCTTTTGCAAACCACATTTTGGTAATAGAGGTCTGTGGTCCGTCTGTAAATGAAAACTCCTTCTGTGTATAAATTTGTGACATTTTTTCACTGCAAATATTATTGTTAATGCCTGTTTTCCGATCTGGCTGTAGTTTTTTTTTCTGCCGGGAGCAGCGAACGTAAAGCATGTGTAATGGCTTTCATGCTACCATCATCATATTTAGGTAGAATTATTCCTATAGTCACTAACATCTGAAACCAATACAATTTCTGCTTTTGGATTGTAGTGCGCTAATGATAAGTCTGACATTAGTATTTTCTTGATTTCTTCAAACACCTGACACTTATCAGTCCAGTTCCTCTTTACATCTTTTTTAAGATACTAAAGAAAAGAGTGCTTGAACACCATTTAATGGTTATCCTCATATAGCAGTGAATGCTGAACAGTTTCATCACAAATAAAAAAAAAATTTCTAAAAGTTGTAAGGGAGACTACAAAGGAACTGTTGCTAATAATCAGAAAGTGAGAGAGCTGAAATTATTAGAGTTATAACGATGAAAGGTTTAGAGAATTAAACACTCACATGACACATTTCAAACCAAGAGAAACAGAGAAAAGCCTTGAGCAAGTCTATTTAACAAATTAATGAACTTGAATAGAGGAACAAATACCAGAAAGACAGAGAAATTCAAAAAGGAGCAAGTCCTGCTGAGATCAAGAAAAGATAAGAAGCTGTGGAGAACCATAATTGTCCACAGGGTTGCTTGATTTAAGTCAAAACTTTTATTCTTAAAGTTCCCAATTTAAATCACAATTTGTTATTTATCTTCAATTTTATGCAAAAAAGAACGAAGAAATTTAATTAAATATTTATTTCTAATGACCAATTGAATAAAAAAATAAATTTCCATTACAAAATAACATCTGAATTATTTAAGTAACATATGTCTTGCTTATTAAACTTAAGCATAATTCAAGTTCTTCAGCATCAGAAGATTTGGAATTCATTACTTTAAACAGAAATACAAGTTTTACTGCTCTATCAAGATGGTTTCTCTGTCTATAATGAACATGTCTATATGAAAAGAAAACATGTTCAACACTAGAAAATGAGGCCACTGTTGACTGGAGTTGTTTTACTGTAGACAGTGTTTCTCTCTGCTCAATGCACTTGCATGTGAATTCCACTGCATATTCAGATGTTTGAAAGTAAGGTGACTTTGCTTGCAATTGCATGAAGATTGGACACCTTATTTCTTATTTCAAGATTGTTTTTGGTTCTTTTAATGTCACAAATTTGAAGTAGAATTGGTCATATGTTAATATAAATCTTCAGACAGTCTGACATAGTGTCCCATTTAATTTCATGAGCATAACAAGGTGTGAACCACCTTCTTGATAGTTCTTTGCTAAGGTGTAATTATTGTTTGTAAGATAATTCACCATGTAAAACACGTTCTTTTACATTAGAAACTTCCAAATCATTAGCCAACAGATTTAACGTGTGCTAAACATTCACAAGTTGACACTTGGCAACTGACTTTCTTCTAACAGTTTTCTCATTGTGCTGACATGGGATGCATTATCTATCCTCACAATAGAAATGTGACAGCCAAAATAATTCCCTGACATATTTATTGAAGGCATTACAATTTCCTGAAGATATTTTTCAGTGTGGGGGTTTTGCCTGATGTGTCCTATTGTATTCAACTGATATATATATATATATGTGCAGTTGATGTGACACATTTAATGCATTCATTAGGAAATGTTGAAGCACTCATTTAATGAAAGGCACATGTTCATTTGCACACATTTTATGTTCCTTCTACCAGGTATTTCTTAACACTCTCTTATTGAAGATGTCAATTTCAGCTTCAACTTCTTTTACCATTTCTTGTAATTGTAAGTGTTGCACTAATTGAAAGAAAGTTGGCTGCAAATATCATTCTAGCAACTTCTTCATTAAGGCCGGTCTCTGTCTCTAGTCTTTCCAACTACATATACATCTTGATTTTGTTCTTTTTTCCTCCATCTCTCATGACATTTATCTGCAAATCTAATATTTTTTTTTAATTTAAAAAAAAAAAAAAATTATCAACATTGCTTGCTTGTGTCCTGAAAGGATTTTGTATATAGAGAAATCGGAATTGCTTTGAAGTAGATAAACTGTTTTTTAATTCTTTACAAATAATAATATTTTTTTTGTTTAAATTTTGCTTTAATTTATTTTCAGGTTGTATAACAAAGAATCTGTACTTGAATTTCTCCTTGACAGAAACAAATTTGAATGTGCACATAATTTTAAGCATTTAAGAGGCCTTAAGGTAAGTATTTAAACTAAGGGAAAAGTTTGTATGGATTATGTTCTGTGATGTTTGTGTTGATTCCAACTTGATATTTGTTTGCATTGAATTTGGAGTGGGAGATAGGTTTTCTGTCCTAGAACCAGCAGTACTTAAACTATAGACTCATGAATGACAAAATTAAATTTATTATATGTATATATGTTTGTTATTTATAGGTTAATAGTTTTAACAACTGTTTGAAGTTAGTAAATAAATTACATGCAAATAGAAATATTAGTCAAGGAAAGAATGTGGTGATTGCAGTTATCTTTTTCTGTATTTTTTCTTTTCTGTCTCTTTTTCTGTATTTTTTCTTCTCTGTCTCTTTTTCTGTATTTTTTCTTCTCTGTCTCTTTTTCTGTATTTTTTCTTCTCTGTCTCTTTTTCTGTATTTTTTTCTTCTCTGTCTCTTTTTTTCTGTATTTTTTCTTCTCTGTCTCTTTTTTTGTATTTTTTTTCTCTGTCTCTTTTTTTTCTGTATTTTTTTTTCTGTTCTCTGTCTCTTTTTCTGTATTTTTTTTTTCTGTCTTTTTTTTTTTCTGTTTTTTTTCTTTTCTGTCTCTTTTTTTCTGTTTTTTTTCTTTTTTTTTCTGTATTTTTTGTCTTTTTTCTCTCTTTTCTGTATTTTTTCTTTTCTGTCTCTTTTTCTGTATTTTTTTTCTTTTCTGTCTCTTTTTCTGTATTTTTTTTCTTTTCTGTCTCTTTTTCTGTATTTTTTTTTTTTTCTGTCTCTTTTTCTGTATTTTTTTTCTTTTCTGTCTCTTTTTCTGTATTTTTTCTTTTCTGTCTCTTTTTCTGTATTTTTTCTTTTCTGTCTCTTTTTCTGTATTTTTTTTTTCTGTCTCTTTTTCTGTATTTTTTTTCTTTTCTGTCTCTTTTTCTGTATTTTTTCTTTTCTGTCTCTTTTTTTTTTTTTTCTTTTCTGTCTCTTTTTTTTTTTTTTTTTCTTTTCTGTCTCTTTTTTTTTTTTTTCTTTTCTGTCTCTTTTTTTTTTTTTTTTCTTTTCTGTCTCTTTTTTTGTTTTTTTTTCTTTTCTGTCTATTTTTTTGTTTTTTTTCTTTTCTGTCTCTTTTTTTTGTTTTTTTTTTTTTCTGTCTCTTTTTTTGTATTTTTTTTTTTCTGTCTCTTTTTCTGTATTTTTTTTCTTTTCTGTCTCTTTTTTTCTTTTTTTTTTTCTGTCTCTTTTTTTTTTTTTTTCTGTCTCTTTTTCTTTTCTTTTTTTTTTCTTTTTTCTGTCTTTTTTTTTTTTTTTTTTTCTTTTCTTTTTCTTTTTATTTTTCTTTTCTGTCTCTTTTTTTTTTTTTTTCTGTCTATTTTTTTTTTTTTCTTTTCTGTTTTTTTTTTTTTTTCTGTCTCTTTTTTTTTTTTTTCTTTTCTGTCTCTTTTTTTGTTTTTTTTTCTCTTTTCTGTCTCTTTTTTTGTTTTTTTTTCTCTTTTCTGTCTCTTTTTTTGTTTTTTTTCTTTTCTGTCTCTTTTTTTTTTTTTTTTTCTTTTCTGTCTCTTTTTTTTTTTTTTTTTTTTTTGTCTCTTTTTTCTTTTTTTTTTTTTTTTTTTTTTCTGTCTCTTTTTTGTTTTTTTTTTTTTCTCTTTTTTCTTTTTTTTTTTTTTTTTTTCTCTTTTCTGTCTTTTTTTTTTTTTTTTTTCTTTTTTTCTCTTTTTTTGTTTTTTTCTTTTCTGTCTTCTCTTTTTTTTTTTTTTTTTTTTTCTGTCTCTTTTTTTTTTTCTTTCTGTTTTTTTTTTTCTGTCTCTTTTCTGTTTTTTTTTCTTTCTTTTTTTTTTTGTATTTTTTTCTCTTTTTTGTTTTTTCTTTTCTTTTTTTTGTTTTTTTTTTTTTTTTTTTGTTTTTTTCTTTTCTGTCTCTTTTTCTTCTCTTTTTTTTTTTCTTTCTGTTTTTTTTTTTCTTTTCTGTCTCTTTTTTTTTTTTTTTTTTTTTCTGTCTCTTTTTTTTTTTTTTTTTCTTTTCTGTCTCTTTTTTTTCTTTTCTGTCTCTTTTTTTTTTTGTTTTTTTTTTCTCTTTTCTGTCTCTTTTTTTTTTTTTTTTTTTTTTTCTTTTCTGTCTATTTTTTTTTTTTTTTTTTCTTTTTCTGTCTCTTTTTTTTTTTTTTGTTTTTTTCTTTTTCTGTCTTTTTTTTTTTTTTTTTTCTTTTTTCTTTTTTTTTTTTCTCTTTTGTCTCTTTTTTTGTCTCTTTTCTGTCTCTTTTTTTCTTTTTTTTTTTTTTTTTTTTCTTTCTTTTTTTTTTCTCTTCTGTCTCTTTTTTTTTCTGTCTCTTTTTTTAGTCTTATAAAGAATTGAAAGTAAGTTTGATCTTTTTTATATAAAAATTCACTGGGCTAATGTTTGGGCATACAAAGAAAAATGTTAAGGTGATAAATTTTGTTCTTTTTGTTAAGATTGAGGTAACTGATATCTTGTTTTGCTTTGTTAGAATGATATTAATTTTCATGGAAATTTTTCCTTTTTGAAAAAAATCAACTTTTAAAGTGGGATAAAGTGAAGGTTCAGTTTTCAAATATAAGTATAATACCATACTCGATCGTGACTTTCTGCCCAGATTTATGATAACCAGTTTTCAGTTTAACTTGTGACTTGAATGTAAAACTGGACTTTGATTTTGTACCTATTTATACAAATGGTTGTGAAAAAAAAAAAAAAAATTGATATAAAGGCATATAAAAGTGAAATATCCGATTGAAATAGAAATAGTGACAAAAACAGTAAAAGAATTAAAAAAAAAAAACGGTATTTATTTTGAATTCAAGAAACCTTTTTCTCTTTTTGTTATAACAATGGCACAGAATTAGGATACAATTTTGTAGTCATATTTGCATAAATGGGTTCAGACTCAGAGTCCAGTTTTATATTCAATTGACAAGTTAAATTGAACAGTCAACTTAATTATTCTCAAAACTTAAATATTTCTGAAAGAAATAAATATCATATTTGAACAAAGCAAAGTATATAAGTACAGTGCAAACTTCATTCTTGAATATCTCACGTCGAACAAATCAGTTTACAAACAGAATTTTCGAGATGAAAATGCCTCTGTTATCAAACAAAATTCTAGTTCTCAAACAACATTGCTGAACTGAATTAACCCAAATGGAATCATTTCTTAGTCGACCGTTGTGTTGTATACATTCGTGTGTTGTACTGTGCCTTTTTTTTCCAATTTTATTGTACTGTGCCTTTTTTTTCTCTTCATTTGTCCTCAGTCATGTCTCTGAAGAAAGTTAGCAGTGATACTGGTAAAGAAAAAACAAAATTTAAGAGAAAAACAATTGTTGATGATATTGTCTCTTCCTACTCAGTTTCTTATGGCAAAATCAACAATCTATGCTATTCTTATAAATAAAGAGACGATCATGTTTTCCCTTCCCTTTTCCAAACAATAAAATCTTTTCCTTCCTCTTCCACTTACGCCATCAACTTTCCTACATGCAGGTATGGTACAATTGAAATGTTCATCTATATTTGGAATTGGGTTTATTTATTTTTTTCTTAGATTTAATGATTTTCATTAGTTTTGTGTATAAACTTGTGCACAAAGTTTAAATAAGCAATCATCTTGGGACCAGGAACCAATTAATCCATTTTACATTGATTCCTATTGGGAAAATACTTTAGGTTTATGAACGGGCTTTAGGAATGAATTAAATTCATGAACTAAGGTTTCACTGTAAAATGTATTTTTCACAAATGTCATTTAACATCATGTTAACTTTTTGTACCATAGTGTATCCCAAAAATGCCTTATAACTTACTAATAATTACTACAGGTATCAGAAAATATCTTAGTCTTTCCATTTCTGTTAGAAAACAAAGTTTGGGAGTCAAATCTTCAGTATGAATACTATTATTGATACGGTCCAAGTGCAGTTTTCAAAAGAGAATATATTAAACATTTAAAAGATATTGATGATTGACTGCTAGGAATTAATAAACATCAGTCCAGTTTATGTATAACTTGGCATTGTTTTTAAACAGTTTTTATCATTCTTATTTTCTTTGTTATAGGATTTGAAAGAACTCAACTTGACAGTGAATCCCAGTGAAACCCGGAAACAGGCAGAAAAAGGAGATGCTTACATTGATTCTTTGACTGCCAATTACATTTGCCCAGTTGTTGGGGTTGAAATGAATGGTATGTTCAGGTATGTAAACACTTAGACTTCGCTGGGGGTATTTTCACCTAACACTACAAATTGCTACAAAACCAAAATATTGACCTAAAAGCTCAAGTTCATGTTCTTAACTAATTTTGTCAGACCAAGACTTTCATATGGATGTTATGCATGGCACCAAACTTGTTCAGAAATATCTAAACTGTCAGCTGTATATAACCACTTCCTTGGATCAATGATTAAAAATAGCTTTGAGCAAAGGAAGCATGTGGATCTTATCAAAGACCATACTTCTTTGAACCTTGTGAACTTGTGCTACATAATCACAAACAATGAACTGCCAAATAATAGAAACCACATTACTTGAGGATTTTCAACAGAAGCAGCAGCTAAAGTGGATATCACCTGTAACACAAAGAGAAAGTTATGACATAATCAAGATGCTGACTTTACACAACACTCCAAACAAAAGGTTAGGAAGGAAACCCCCATCAATACTGGAAAGAGCAATGACAGCTATTGGACTTGAGAAACCTATTTTCCTGAAAAATTGTTTTAAGAGAAAGATTTTATAAATTTCAAACAAAAGCAGTACTGGCTGCTGGGTCAAAGAATGCCATATGTTTCCTTGTAAGGAAATGGTTAATATTGCCATTACCATTTCCATATATATTTCTAATTTGTCATAGTATTTTCTCAATACTGTTTCTTGATATATAAAAATTATGTATCATTATGTCCCATCATATATATATGTATATATATATATATATATATGTGATATATATATAGTTAGACAGATTTCATCTAATGTCCGTCGTTGTTTTTTCTCGGCTGAGGTTTGTATAGTTTTTCAAACCCAGCCTGTGTTTCGTTCTGGGTGTAAGGTTATTCTCCCTCCCCATCAAATTAATTCTATTATTTACAAATATGTTTGTAGTTGCGATGCTGGCTACATAGAGAGAACGACTCAACACCTAGACATGAGAATTCCCAAATACCTATGGTTCCACCATATGTGAGCACCTCTTAAATAACAGAGTGTATGGCTAATTTTAGTTGTGACTGGTTCAGTGTTCTGTCTTGGTCACACTCTTTATTTCACCTCAAGGTGCTGGAGGTACTTTACATCGGGTCCCGCAAGCCTTCCCTGTGTAAGCAGCTTGAATGTTTGTTTGGGCTCGCTGTTATTTGTCTCTAGCTCCTTGTGTTCATATTTTTTTTTCCCTCCCCATTTCCTTTTCATTGCACATTTTCTAGTGTTTTTAATTTAAGTTAAATCTCCCGTGGAAGCCTGAAGAGCGTGAACAAAACCGATTGCTTCGTTTTTAGTATGTCTAGTAATATTAAACTTCACACTTTTATTTCTGTGATTAAATTTTGTACCTACAATATATATATATATATATATATGTGTGTGTGTGTGTATATTTATACAGCAATTTTTCAAGACCCATGGAAAAAGCTCAAATCATAGTCTTAACTAGTTTTATCCAATTCAGACTTTCATATGGATGTCATGCATGGTGCCAAACTTGTTTCAGAATATCTAAACTCTCAGCTGTATACAACCACTTTCTTGGATCAATGATTAAAAATGGCTTTGAGCAAAGGAAGCATATAGGTCTTAGTGATGACTATCTTTCTTTGAGTTTTGTGGGCTGACACTCAGTCAGTTAAGTACCATATGCGATACACACTTTGGCGATCATGTCTCTTTCAGTCGATGACTGACTAGTAAGTTGCTGTTTCTTTCTGCAGTAGACTATTTGTCAGCTAAAGCTATAGGATCCAGTTTGTCCTACTATTCAACCCATAGCTGAGGAGAGAAGAGATATATTCATATCTTTCCCAAGGGTATTTATGCATAAGTGAATGTAATGAACCTAACTGAAATTCAAACTCTGCTCTCTGATGTCTTACTCTGAGCCATTTTCCATTACACCACAACGGACATCAGTCATAAACAAAGAACTGTATCAAATAAGAGAAACTGTATCACTTGAGAACTTTCGACAGCTGCTACAACTAAAATGGATATCACATAACTTGTAGAAAGAATAATGACATAATCACGATGCTGATGTTCAAAAAAAAAAAACTCCCATCAATACTAGAAAGAGCAGTAACAATGGACTTGAGAAAGCTATTTTGCTGAAAAATTGTTTTAATAGAAAGATTTTATAAATTTCAATTGAAAGTAACACTGTTTGGTCACTGAATGCCAAATATTTCCTTATAAGGAAACTGTTAATATTGCCATTGTTTCAGATCTTTGCTTTTAGATAAAGCCAAGCAGTTTAAGCTTTATTAGAATTGTTTTTACCATTGTCTTATGACAGATTATGAAATGAGTCTTTTTCTCAATGTAAAGAATTTTGAATAATTTCTCTCTGCCAGTCATTGGAAATTGAGTTTCTGAAATTTGACTCTTGACCTGTACATATTTAGACTAAATTCCCTTCTGCATTTTTCTGCCACTTTTTGCTAGGAAAGTCATTGAAATCTGGTTAAAATGAATATTAATGACAGACAATTTTAACTTGACATTTTTTACAAAAATTACCTATATCAAGTGGATTTTGAGGGCCCTACAACACAAAATTCAATATTTTTGGGCATATTTTTCATGACTTTTTATCAATTATGAACCCCCACCCCCAGAATAACACAAAATGCCTAAGCTAACATTTCTTCTCCTTTTTAATGTAAGTTACCAAATATTAAAACAATTTAAATCCTCAAAATGTAAGAAAATTCTTCTTGAGAAGATATTTAAAATGTGTTCTGTTCTTTCCATATCTTAAATACATCATTATCTGCCTTTGGCACCATATGCCAGATATTAAATATCGGTTTCTGACAAAACTTTCCTTGTATTTATCAGAAAATTATGATCTAAAATTCTATTACAATGTTTCTTAGGGTGTTCAATCTATTTAGGCACTGAGCACCCCCAAAGAAACAAATGCAAAATTTAAGCTCTTTTTGAAAATTTTGGTTTTTCATTTCAGACCAGGGTTTCAAAATCTAAACCCTCATTTTTTAAATTAGAAATATGATAGTTTTTCTTTTTTGCTTTAGTCTTCCTTTAAGTACAAATAATATTAATACAGTTCCATAATTGAGCTGAAAATCATTCAAGTGGCTCAAAAACAAAAAATTTCAGATTGGTTCTATTTTAGCAAGCTGACAATGGAAAAATCTTAATTAACATCACTGAGCTTTGGAGGAAATATTGAACTCACAGCTGTCTGGGAACTTGTCTTAATCCACTAAGCTATGTGTTATGAGTTCAAATCCTGGATTTAGTTTTGCTGAAAAGTAATATATTCTGGTCCAATGAAAGAACTAGCAAGCAACACAAATGTGAACAAGATTCTAGAGTATCACCTGATATGAGTTATCTCCCCTAAGCAGAATGAAAACAATCTACCCATATAAATTGAATTAAAGGGTTCTATTCAGAATTCTAAGAATGTTACCAAATACAGCAATACCAAAGTTTACAACAATTGAAATGTAAGAATAATAAGTCATATAATAATGATAATTCCTAATCTTAAATCTTAGTGAATAAAACTGGTGAGTATTAACTGGCATAAGTTATCTCCCCTAAGCATGGAAAGCAAAACGAGAATTGTGGATTTAATTCAAAATTCCAGGAAGATTGAGTGCAATGGCAGACACCTAAAGAGGGCTGGAGAGTATAATGACTAAGATGAGTATGTTGATTTTGAATAATAAATAATATAATTTGTAATGGTTTAATTATTTGTAATTATTACACTTGTTTATTTATTGACACCTGGTAGTGACTGTGGGACAATTTTTTTTTCAGTTTATACATGAGCTTTTTCATTAATTAATTTTTGATTAGGGTGTTTTTTTTCTTAGGCTTTTGCTTTTTATTTTAACACTCAGGTTATTTTTACATTCTATAAACGATTAAACAGTATGGATAAGAAGAATAAAATAACATAAGATAAAAGGAAAAGTTATCCTCATAACATTTTATCTAGACGATTTAGACAAAGCATTATACCTTCTTACCTAGAAGAGATAATCATAATTGTAGTACGACTGACTTTCATTAAAGTTAAATTCAGTTTTTACTCTGTTAAAAATAAATTTTTAACCTTTTGGTAATTTAGAGTATTTTTTTTATTGAGAAGTGATTATTGCTTAGATTGGGTTTCAACATGAATTTTAAGTTATCAGCACTGTCAATCAACTGTGGGAATGGTGGATCAGAATACCTCCTTTGCTCTAATCTTCAACATTTGTATTGGTCGATTCGTTTTTTTATGACTTATTAACCCTTTGCATATTATTTAAAGCCAGGAAATATTTTTTATATTGTCAGAATTTTTTTTATTTTTATAATGATTTAGTGGTACAAGTGTGGATTGGGGAGGTGAATTCATACTTTTCCCAAGGATATTTGTGTGTAAGCGAATATAATGAACCCAACTTGAATTGGAACTTGGCTCTCCGATTAACAATTCTGAGCCATTATCCATTACACCATATGCACATCCAAGTGTACCACACCTGGTATTCCCAAATAGTCACCCATCAAGGTACTAACTAATCTTGACATTGCTTAATTCAAGATGTGTAAGAAACAACTAAAGTGTATAGTTGGGATGGGGCAACAACTCATGTTTGTCATTCATAGGTTATAAAGAGTATACAGTTGAATCTGCTTCAAAAACTCAATCAGCATAAATAATAGGAGTTGATATACTGTACATCTATATTAATAATTCAATTTGGTGCTCAGGTTCTTTTATGAAAATATTATAAAAGAATGTTTTAAAATTTCTTGCTTTTAATTGAAATATATTTTTCTTTTTAGATTTTGTTTTGTGTGGAGATGTGGCTGTGTGATGTCAGAGCGGGCTCTAAAAGAAATCAAGTTAGATATTTGTCACAAGGTTAGTTATTTTGCATTGTTTACAATTTTTTAAGCAGTACAGATGTCCTTATGTAATTTATAACTCAATTTATTACATGTTTGTTTGTTTTTTTTGTTTTCTCTCTAAAGTAACAGCCATTAGTCTCCATCCTTTTAAAAGATAAGTTTGAAAACAAAAAGGTTACTGGTTACAGAAAGTAAAACAAGGAACAACGAAAGAATAAACATGTGGTTTTTAAGTCAAACTTTAAAGAGAATACCAACTTCCAAAGATGCAAATGTTGATCTAAATTTCTGTGAATTTTAAAAGAATGAAAATGACAAGCTTTTATGCAATAAACAATATTAAAAACAAAAATCTATCAAGGCTAGAATCAATGGAAGAAGATTTAAGAGTATGCTTGTCTAAAATTTGACCTTCAAAGAAGATATTCTAAAAAAAATATCAAGCTCTGATATCCTATTAAATGTTAAATTTATAATAAACAGAAAAATAAATATACGTTTTTAAGAATTTTAATTATCTTTTTATTACAAATCATAAATTGTTTTGTGTTAATAAATAAATCATAAAAAGTATGCTTTTTTTCTTTTTTTATCATCCATGTGCTGCAGAAGTTTAACTATAGGTTCAAGTGTGTCATAAGATAAAAAAGGTTGTAAAATATTGGGTTATAAGTTGGTTGGTTGATTTTGTTTAGCAGCATATCAACCTCTATGGGTTATTTAATGCTGAAATCTAAATATTTTGAACACAATTTTATGGCTTCAACTAAATATATATTGGGCTCAATTGTATGCCTTCAATTACAGATAAAATATATTGTTAGTCATTTTGCTATAAAATATATTGTTGGTAATTTCACTATAAATATGTAGTGTTAGTAATTTTTTTCATATAAAAAATGTATTGCTGGTATTTTTTACTATAAAAATGTATCTTTATATCTTCATAGTGTTTTGTTTTTGTTTGGGTGTTCACCATTTTCCCATAGCTTGGGATCCTAACAGGTATTAACACCCTCTGTCAGGGTGAACCTAGGAACAACAGTAATTAAGAGGTGGTTCCACACTCCTCAAAACTTCCAATCTCTTGATTAGAGGCCTTGCTGCTGAATGTAGTTTATCATCATACCCAGGACTATGGTTATATGTAGAAATCTATAATTGATACCAGATTATTTATAGACCTTTTAATTAAAATTGGATCTTTTTCTGTTTTTTTTTTTTCTCCTTACAAACTTATAATTACCACCAGAATTTTATTTTAATTTTTGTAATTGATACTGGATTTTATGGTGCACATTAAGGAGTTAGAGCTACTGTTTTTGTGCTGTGTCAATTCTAATTGATAAAATATAAGCACTTTTTTTTTTTTTTTTTTTATTTCTTTCTCTCAGCTACAAACACTATATGTCTATCATTAAACCTTTAGCCCTCTGCATTATTAACATTATTCCCATTTTCACTGAATTCTTTTTCAAACCCTCTCAATTGCAGAATTGTTAATTTTACTCAAAGTTGTTTTCTGTTGCCTTAGTATGACAACACTACAAAATTCAAACACACTGTTGTTCAGAGATCAGTCACTTTTAATGGCAAGATAAACTTTTTGGACAGCAAATGAAATCACATACAGACTGATAAAGGTTAACAGACTGATATAGGTTAACAGACTGATATAAATTCTACTGCTGGCAATTTCTACTGACACATAAAAATCATTGGTTTAGTAATTGAATAGGAAACTCTGTTCACCTGGATAACTTCCTTGCTTATTGCAATTTTTCACTGGCCTTATCTAGATATGGAATAACACATAATTAATGATACTTCATTCACCTGATAGGTTCCTCATTGAATAATTATCAAGAAGGTGAGTACAGGTCAAGTTACCCATAATGTATGAGTTCCTGCTGACCCAGTTCTCATCTCGTTACATTAAGGGAGATCATCAAGAGATCAGATACACACACGCACACAACAATTTACTAAGTGTAGCTTAGATGTGGCATAAAGCTGAAAGTATGGAGCACCTAGTGAAGATCAAACTCAATACTCATTTGTAATGGATTTAGTAAGACAAACTTGCTAACCACGTAGAAGGGCCCAACAGTACTTTCTTAGCTTTTCATTATTTACATCTGTAGAATAGAAACATTCTAAGGAAATAGGTGTCCTTACAATAAGTGACTTTTGCAAGAATTTATAAAATTTTTATATTTTATTTAAATGTCATGTCCCATGAGGATATAGGCGAAAATGGCTCTTCACAGATGCCTTTTCTTTATGTATAAATTACCATCATATTTGGGGAAAGATAGTGGAGTAGTTTCCCATTGCCTTCTCCATAGTTTTGAATTCAGTGTAGTTCTCCTAAAGTGACTGCTACCCAAAACAAGAAGGCCTAGTTTACTCTGTGATTTAACCCATAGCTGCTGGGGAGTGAGGAAGAAATGAATTCATGCCTTTCCTACAGATATTAGTGCAAAATGAATGCTATAGATTAAGCCTGAACTTGAACTTGTTGATTCGACTTTTTGTGCCAGTAACCATTATGCTACCCATGCAATTCTGAATTTATAAAATATAATAAAAAGAAAGAAAAAAAAAAAATTTTTAAATGTTTCTTCATTCAAAATTTGGGTTTAGATCTCATTATTTTGCTTACATATTCATATCCAAAAATAATGTCTCTTTTGTAAGAAAAAATAAATTCATGTTGAAAAGGATTTTTTGGCAATGTTTAACCTTCGTGCACAAAAATAAAATAAAAAGTCAGTGTCAAAAGAAAGTTTATTCATGACACTACTCAATACTTATGACTCCCTCGGTAATGCTTATTATTTTAAAAAGCAATGATTAGAATTTTAATAAAACCCAAAAATATGAAAGTGGATTTATACATTTTCTTTATCCTTGGGAATTAACAACAGAGATATTAAATTCTATTTATTTATTAGATTGCTTATTTAGATGAATAATTTTATATTTACAAGATTATAAAAATATATGGACTAACTATAATGAAATATTTATTATTTACCAATTCATAAAGAAAAAGTTATGAAAATGAATTTTTTTATTCATAAATTTATAAAAAAACATCTGAAGATAATTTAAATAAACGCATAATGACAAGTAACTGTAATTAAAAATTTAAAAAGAAAAATGCATTTTTCAGGCATTTCTACATTTAAAAAAATGAGTTTTCCAAGCCATCACTAAATAAATTCACTAAAATAAGTTGAGAACATCTCTTCCATTGAACCAAACATTCTTTTAATTTTAGATTTTGAGCATGACCACACTCAATATTTTTCCCTTTTCATTGGGTTGACAAAGTTCTCCTTGTGTATAATTAATTACAGGATGTCTAATTTTTACTGCAAATATTACTTTGTAGCTGGTTTATATATTTTGTAAATTTTTTTAAAGAAATTTTTGAATAAAAAGATTTTTCAAACTTATTTCTTTATAAAAGGTAAATAAAAAAATATCACATTGTACTTGGTTCACACGTTTTTATCATCTTGTAAATAAACATTGTCAAGGGAGCCAAAAGTGTACAGTAACAGCAGAATCATAGGAATAACCTTCCTTCTGACATCTTTTTTTTTTTTTTTTTTTTTTGCTGATTTTTCTTTATTCGAATATTATGCAAGGGACGTAATTCTTCATGGGTGCTAACTTTTATAAAAGCCTGCAGAAATATTAGAATTTAATAATCTTATTAATAATACTGTACGAAAGAGTACTGAAGAGTTCTTGGCCTGGCATACTTCCAAAAATCTAACCAAATTATTAAACATTTTCATAAGAAGGGTTTCTTGGTTAGATTGAGAACTTTTCACCACCCACTCATAAGATAGATATCTGAAAAGTAAGTTTGATAAAAATGTTAGAATAATCCAGATCTTATACTGGGAACAAACCGCCTGCATACAAATAGAAAATGAATTGAGTAGTTATACAAAAATAGAAAGGGGCATGATACAGTGATGTGTCATCTTCTCAGATTTATTCAACTTAGAACCACATTTCTCTTGCCTCAATTCTTTTCTCCATCTGTGTGATGAAATGGTTTAGCTTCACTGCCACATAGGAGGATTGATATTACATAACAGTTCAGCACTCTTTTCTTTGTTTCTAACGAATTTTTCCTGTTTTTGATACTTTGTTTAGCTTCTGAAAGGTATCTTTTGCTATGTCAATGTTCCTCTAGAAATCAGTGTCATATTTATCCAGATATTTAGTGTGCCCTTTTCAATGACAAAGGAAAGCTTAGTTGCTGGTGACATGCAGATGACACAGTAACACTAACCATCAACTGCAAGAAAATAAAGTATGGCAAGAGGAAAAGCCCAAAACGGGAGTTACATTTTTGTAGATATATAAACATTAAGCAGGTGCAGAAGTATAAATATCAAGTATATTAACAAGGATGGAAAATGTGACTGAAATCCAAACACACATTGAACTAGTGAAAAAATCATTCCAAAAGCTAAGCAAGGTGCTGAAAATGGAAAAATTTTGTTATAAACAAAGAAAACAGTGCTGGATTTGTGTGTGATATTCATCCTCTTATATGGCAGTGAGTGCTGGACAGTTTCCCTGTGGACGAAGAGAAAACTGGAGATAACAGAAATGTGGTTCTACAGTAGAATATTGAAAATTCCATGGACAGTGAGTAAGCAATGAGAAAATTTTAAAGAAAGAGGCAACAGAAAGAACACTTCTACTCAGAATCAGGCAAAGATAGCTGAAATTCCTTGGACATATAGTGAGGAGGTAGGGTTTGGAAAACTTAACCCTCATGGAGTATATTCAAGACCAGAGAGCCACTTGATGAGCTTGTGTGAATGGAAATGGTGGGCAGGAGACTTGGCAAAGGGAGAAAACTGCAAAAAGCTACATGAGATAGGAAAATGTGGAGAGCTATGTCCTGAAGGGACATAGTACATAGAAGAAGGTGCAAACATTTACCATTGAGACTGAAAAAAAAAATTTGATGTTTGGTTAGATTTTGAGAAGGGAGTTTTCACCTATGCCCCTTGTGTGTGTGTGTATATGCACAACATACATGCATAGAAGGCATTTTATACAATTAAATCATTTGTTAAAAAAATTTTAATTTCTTTTTCCAGTGTGGTCAAAAGACAAAAGCTGATGACATTGTAATAATCAATGGTACAGAAGAAGATATTCAATTGATGACAGAAAGAATGAACAAACGCAGAGAAGCTGCAAAACTTGAAAAGGCAAGCATTTAAATTCCAATTTTTTCTTTCTTTTTTTTTTTTATTTTTTCATAAAGATTTCCATATTTTTCCCCCATAAGAACATCATCTGATCAGCAATATGAATTATACATTAGGGAGTGTTAATATGACGTTATCATTTGCAACCTTGGATATAAAAGATGTTTATAGATATTTACAGAAACAGATATATATGTCTCCAAATGTAAAAGAATGAAAAGAATATAAATTCAAACGTTCATAACATTAATTTAAAAAAGGGCTCAATACAAGAGTAGATATCAAAACAAATATGCATTTTTGTCATGGTAACTTGCATGTTCCAATGAATCAGTTTATATATATATATATATATATGTGTGTGTGTGTGTGTGAAAACTGTGTGAAATAAAAAAAGAAATGAACATATCAAAGTAACAGTAAAAAATTTTATACAATTTTCTGTAAAGAGCATACCAAGTTTGAGAAGTTAGTATTCAACTTCTTAATAGATCTGAGGGACAAATATTCTTTCAACCAATACGATAAGAAACAAAGTAAAACATTTAGTTCTTAGTTCAAAGGTTAGCTCCAGCTTCTGTCATATTTCATCCAATGTCTTGAACATTATTTTTGACAGGATAATTATTTCTATTTTAAGACCACGAGTTTTGCTTCCATGTGGAAATAATTCCTATAGAAAACACACCAACAGACCCTACTATTTTTTATGTCTATATATAATATTGTGGCTAGAATGTTCACTTTCTAACCATGAGACCCAGGTTCGAATCTCATCATGGTCAGGTTATCAAAAAGATAACTTATTGATGTTATTGGCCTGTGGAAGTGATCTCAGCATATGGAAAGTGCTTGCAAACCATACTATGGGTTGATCCAATCCTTGAGTGTGAAATTGGGTAAACTGAATTTTTTGGTGAGTTGTCAATGGTTATGCTAGCATGAAATTGCAAGTCATTGCAGCCAAAGGTTTTGAGCATACTGTTCTTGTTCAGGCTGCTGATCATACCAGATAATGTGCTCCTTCCCAGAAACTGTAATTAAGTTTCACTCAGCATAGTTGCAGTATAAACCACAGGTAGGGCCTGTGTGTATAGAACTGTAGTGAAAGAGATAATCAGCTACCTTGAAAAAGAGTTTGTGTTTTGTGTGCGATCTGCCAAAGAAAAATTACCAAAAAGTAGTTAGCAAAGAAAAAAAAAATCTACTTTAAGGTCTAGAATCTATGCTAATGTTCTTCCCTCCCCTGAATGGCGTGACCAGTCAGAAAGATCTCTTGGTGAACAAAAGCCGTTGTTCTTCGCTTATAAAGGCAGGAGATTTTCTGAGCTCGGGAGACGAACACGTGTTTTTTCGTTTCTACGCTGCTTGTTGAACTGTTATGATGGGCTATCGTTTGAACTATGATTTGGCTACAAGTGTTGCGGTCGAGAGACAGAAGAAATCTATTGTAGATGTTTGTCGCTACTATAAGTTGAAAGTCTTTTCTTTACAACCACAGGAACAAACATGTGCCTAAGCAAGTATCTTTAACATGGATTGGCTAGCCACTCTAGTAGACAAGCATGCTTGGATATGAGAGGCCAGCCACCATAAAATCATGGTTCATTTTCTGCTTTGATGCTGTCAATTTCATGCTACTCAGAATCTATTTCTTTGTGTTTACATTCTATTAACGCCCAACTTCAACTGCTTCATCATTTGTGCTTTTTACTGTCCTTTCTTGTAGGCCTGCATTATTCACTATTCTCATTGGACAAGTTTTATATTTTTTTTAATTTTTATCAATTCACCCCAAGCAAGATGATAATTCCGCTAAGATGCAAGTAGCTACTGGGAATGAAAGAGTATGAAAATATTTTAGAAGAAACTGGAAACAAGGAATAAATCTCTACTCTGTTCAAAAATTGGGGAGGAGTGTGAACTGGTCGATTTTGTTGATTTGTGGTAGATTTTAAATGGTAAAATGACAAAAAAATATGTGAACAAAAAAAAAAAGCTATAAAATTTGGTTTCTGCATTGTCTATTGTCAACTAAGACATACCTTTTAATTTTCAAGTAGAATATTTATTTGATTTTAATCCAAAATTGGATTTCATTTTGCTAGAAAAGACTCATTCAGAATTTTCCCAGCAGTAAACTTATCATCAAACTTAATTGTCAATATGGAAGATCTTATAAATATATTCCATTTTTACACTTTTTTTTCCTAATTATTATGAATGTCATGAATAAAAAAAAAACATGATGTTTATATCCTGCAAAAAATCTGGATCATGATTTATGCAATATTATCAGATGTAGTTTCTTTGAAATCCACATTCATGATAATTAGAATAAAACCAGTGTAAAAATGGAAATGTCAAAGGTGCACATTGCTATCAAAATGCTTTATATGATTCATGAAAATTGTTCACAAAATTAAATTTGACTTGTTAGGAGAAAGATAATGTTTTCTCTGAATATATGAACATTTTGAGTTTCTTCCCTTGAATGAGAAGAGCACAGTAATTCATGATTTTCATAAAGGCCCATTAAAAATCTCGCAAAAATGTAAAATTATAAAGTTCTACAAATTCGTAGTGTCAGAAATATTCACATGGAAACACTTGCTCTAAAGTCGAGTAAATCAGTACTAATCCTTATACAAAAACTGATTAATAGTTGTTTTTTTTTTTTAACTTGTAAACCTGTTCAATTTTTACAACATAAAACAATATATTGAGTTTCATATGACAATTACAGGTTTGTTTAATGCACAAATGGGTTAAATGTATTGCTATTCAGAAAAAAAAATGACTTTTTGTAACATTGCTACTGTACTTCTACAATAGATCACTCTTGTCTCTAAAATCAAAATTGTGCCCAGATAAGATATCTTTATATTTTTCTCTGTGAATTCACTTGAATAATCATCTGATTTATATATTGAATATAACTTTGAATTCCTTTTATTTTATTTTCCCAGAAAGCCAAGAAGGCTGAAAAAAAGAAGTCTGACATGTCTACTTCAGAGGGTATGTATTTTTCTAATTGAAAAAATAAATTTTTCTTTATCAAAACCAAGAAAATGAGGACTTCGAACTCACTGATTACGAATGTAGGGAAACTATAGTAATAAATCATTCCAAATAATGACTTGTGAATACAAGTGAAACTCTTATAACCAATGAAAAACATGTTACTTTAATGTGTCTCAATTGATCAGACAGAAAAGTGATCTCTTATTTGTCATACTTGATTGAGAAAAGTTGCTGTGTGTGATTTGTTTTTAATTTATTCATTTAAAAATAAATATATTTTTTCTCCATAGGAAAAAAAATTATGAACACCTCCTGTTTCTTAAGCAAAAGATGTTTACACATATGATCTTCCTTAGTAAAAATCATCAATAGTTTAAAATGCTAAAAACATTGCCTTCAGCAAAGTTTTCTTTTTTTTCTTTTTTTTCTTTTTTCTTTTTTTCTTTTTTTTTCTTTTTTCTTTTTTTTCTTTTTTCTTTTTCTTTTTTCTTTTTTTTCTTTTTTCTTTTTTTCTTTTTTCTTTTTTTTTTTTTTTTTTTTTTTCTTTTTTTTTTTTTTTTCTTTTTTTTTTTCTTTTTTTTTTTTTTTTTTTTTTTTTTTTTTTTTTTTTTTTTTTTTTCTTTTTTTTTTTTTTTTTTTTTTTTTTCCTTTTTCTTTTTTTCTTTTTTTTTTTTTTTTTCTTTTTTTTTTTTCTTTTTTTTTTTTTTTTTTTTTTTTTTTTTCTTTTCTTTTTTCCTTTTTTTTTTTTTTTTTTTTTTAATCATTTCACCCTAAGCAAGGTGAGAATGCCATTAGTACACAGGGTGTTACAGGTGAGTGAAGGTGAGAGAAAAGACTGGATATGTGAGGGATTGAGGAATGGATAAAAGGTGAACAGGATTCAAGAAGATAGAAGATAGCAATTGACGTTGTATTTAAATTTTTGAAAATTGTAGTTATCAGGGAAGCAAGAAAACAGAAGGGAGTTCCACAGCCGGAAAGTGCAAGAAAAGAAACCGTTGGAGTTGAAGTGGTGGTTACATTTAACTATTTCAACAGTAAAAGGTTAGGACCTAGATGCCAATCTGGTAGCATACTTAAATTCATCTAGTTCGGGCACCAGTGGAAAAAAGCTCATCAGAAGTTGCCATGAAAATATTTATAGAAAAGACAGAGGGAAGCCATATAAGGTTACAAAATTCAAGAAATATTGTACTTGTTGATGTATTTGGTTATTTCTAAAGAAGTAATGGATTTTTTATTTATTAGTCTGACAGATTTTATCATTTTAAATGTTATTTTTAGTGGATACTCATATTTAAGTAGACACTCTGTTTATTTATTAAACAGTATACTTATTTTCATCTAACAGCCTGAATATTCAAGAAATCTTATTAAAGAAAAATATGTGCTCACTGGACAGAGAGAACTATCATAAGATCTAACATGCTTTAGACTGGTTCAGCTACAAAGAGCTTTTACCAAAGAAGCATTTGTGGTTATGTATGAGAGTGTGTGAGTTGAAGAAAGTGATAACAAAATGAAATAAACATTATTTTTTTCATGAAATTAGGCATGCCATTCAGAAAGATCAAACAAGCTTCAGTTTTCCCTTTATCTGGCTTATTTCTTTGTATGTTGAGAATTGGAAAAAGTAAATTATCACTCAAATTGTGTCATGTGCATTTGAACGACTTATACTTTATTTATATTGCTTGCTTACTTATCTCTAATTGTTATTTTCTCACAGATGCTGGTTGTAGTGGCAGCAAATTACCTTGTCTCTCCAATGGAATCAGTGTAAATGGTTCTGGAAAATCCAAATTAATCAATGGCTCCAAAAAATGTGATTCTACCAATACTTCTACAGCTGTTGCATCAGGCAGTGGCACAAGTTCCAGCATGAAAACTCTTTCTAAAGAAAAGACATTGACCGCACTTCAGAAGGATCCGAAAAGCAGCAATGTTTATAAGTCTTTATTCACATCTTCAGAGGAATGCAAGAAAAAACCTGAGCAACACTGGATTACATACAACCCACTTTATTTCTAAATTTAAAAAGAAATATCTCAACATAAGTCATCATCTGAAGATTTACATATCTCATTATAAGATGCAGGTGTTTGAGAGTTTATATGGACTAATGTTTTCATCTTTGTATATAGTATCTGTCTTTTGATGAATATGAAATACAGTCCCATTGTATTATCAATTTGTGGGCCAAACACAATTTTTAACATAAAAATCCAATAAAAATGTTACAATAAATTGTTGGTTTTTATGACTCAATATTTCTGCACTGAGACATTTATCACATTGTATTTTTTATTTTATTTTAATTCAATTTATTTATTTTTTTTTTACTGCCAAGAGTATGTGGGTCTACATATTTGCAATAACCTTAAATCTTGGATTATTGTGTAATTTGCCACAAAAGATTAGGATTAGTATACTAAGTTTTATTTAGATGTGTGCATAGTGCTTATCAACATGGGAAGTGGAAATAGGCTCTATAGAGTCTTGGTTAACCAGTCTAGGAGAAGGAGAAATATAACTTCAAAACCAATGGGCTGGCAACTCCACCCCATGAAAACCTACTTGCCTACAGAAGCAACACCTAGTGTAGTGAGCCATATTTGCCACAGGTATAATTAAAAAAATTTTTTTTTTTATTAATCAGTTTACCCCAAGCAAGGCAATAATGCCACTAAGATGCCAGGAGTTATTGAAAATTAAAGAGAAGGAAAAGACTTTAGAAAGAAACAGAATAATAATAGTATAAATTTCAGAGTTTAGGTGGAGACAGAAGTATAGAGTTGAAGGAGAATTTAGAAATAACCAAAGTCTAATCCTAAACAGGAAACAAGGAATAAACCTCTACTCCTGTTCAAATGACCAGGGAAGAGTGTGAACTGGACAATAGGAGAACCTATCTACTCTTATTACTAAGTTTAGCTGTTTTGTTTAACTATGAAGTGCAAATTATAAATTTTGGTTACTTGGAAAAGGCATGAACAAAAATCTCCCTATAACCTGTATTATCAGTAATTACCTTAGGTACTTCCACTAATTCACAATACCTAAGGTTTCAAATGAATTTCAGAAATTAAAAATTCTGTCTTAAATCTAAAACTTAGCTAGTCGCAGACACTGACCCAAACATGCCAACAATATTCCAATCACCAAAACAACACATTCACTCCTACCTTTCTTATTACGTCCACCATAATACCTCAAATTCTCTATGAAGTCCTAACTAGTCCCCTTATATATACAGATAATGTTCATGGGGAGGGTCATAAAATAACAAATTTTAAAAATATCCCCAAATGAATATTTACAATGTGTCTTAAATATTTACAATAAAACTAAACAAAATTGTGTTAGTAATAAAACCCCCACAAACCATGAATGTGGCAGAAACATCAGTTAACCGGACGAAATCAATGCGGGACTATGAAAAAAAAAGGAAAAAACATTCAAACCTCCAAGCATTCACACAGGCACGCACACACATTCAAAGACAACAACAAATACGAAAAATCACCCATACGAAACGAAAGGCGCCCCGCATCCACCAGAGAACTGACATCACTAACCACCTAACGAGGGAGGGGATGGGGAATTAAACAAAAGAAAAATAGGGACAGAAATAAAAGGGACCAATGAGCATACATACCCTAGCTAAGTTAACCGGGGAAAAAAAGAAACTAAAAATTCAAAATAGAAAACCTAGACTAGCCTAATATCTGGGTGGGTTGCCTATGTTCAACCCTGTTAGGACAAAATTCTGTACCTAACCGACATCCAAATGTCACTCTAGGTCAGCCTCTTTTACTCTACACATTCGCGCAAGATTCACCCACCTTTTGCCAAATTCTGATGATGGGAGCCGCCGCCTTTCCGTCCTAATCTTGACTTTAAGCTGATGCTTAAAGTACAAGATCAGTTGGGAAGAGGTGAACTTCTCGCCATCATAGAATTCCTTCATTCGCGTCGTCCAAATCACGACTCTCATAACCCCTAGTAAGCAACAGAACACATAGTTTCAGCCTTCGTCAATTGCGGCACCACATTGCTACAAACAGAACTAAAAAAAACTTTCCCTGCATCATGCGAACCATGAGGCCTTCAACAAACCTGCACAACGGCACTACCGTCTTGCACTGAAAAAAAGGCGTGACCAATGGTCTCGACTTTCCCAGTACAGCGACGACAGTTTGGATATTTCTCCAAGCCTGCTGAACAAAGTCTTTTGCCGACCCAGAGGGCCCCACGAATCATCAGCCAGGTGAGTGATGCCTCATCATTATTGAGACATTTCAACCCAGGCGCCCAAGGCCATATCGAGCGAGCCTCCTGCTTCGTAAGACCGAGCTCGTCGATCAGACCATCTCGAACGGACCCCCTAACTAACAATCGATATAATGCCTTACGAGACAACGCTTGGGCGTCGGTGAGGCCATCCGACGTCCGCAAGAGGTGTTTCAAAGCACGACGACATTCGCGGTAGAAGGAGCACTCGACACGAGGTGTACGGCCGGCCTCCTCCTCGCACGAGTGCACACTTCTCAGGGATGGGAAATGTTTTCGGACATCTTCTTTCCAAAAGGTGCCCACCTCATCCAAACCGCGACACATTCGGTCTAGAAAGGTAATGTGAAGCATATATTGACGAATCTCAATGCTAGGCATACCCAGACCGCCCTCAGAAGGATGAAGGCAACAGATCTCGCGAGATACCATATGGGCCTTGCCTCTCCACAAGAAACAGAACAAGGCCTTGACAAATGACATTAGTCGGGCATACGGGAGTGGAAGCACAGAGAGTCGGTACAGGAGGATCGGATAGATGTGTGAAACACATACTTCCGCCCTTCCCTTCAGGGAAAGTCTCCTCCGAGACCACAGATTACCCGCGGCCTCGGCCTTCCCTTTGTACCTCCGACCAATTCATTTCCAACTGGAGATCAGGACCGAACCAGACGCCGAGTATCTTGATCGGCCCATCCGTCCAGAGGAAAGGTCCGAGAAGAGAAACTCCTTCCACGCACCCAACCACAAGCCCACAGACTTATCGCGGTTGATCTTGGCCCCTGTCACCATCTCATACCCACTGATCTCCTTGCTGACTTCGTCAATCTCGGCTCTGCTCGACACAAGAACCGAAACGTCGTCACCATAGGCAGAATACCTGGCCGAGGTGGAAGCACCAGGCAGCGAAATTCCGCGTAGGACCGGATTCGCCTTTTAACTTGCGAAGGAAAGGTTCCAACGCAAGAACGTAAAGCAAGGACGAGAGCGGACAACCTTGACGAATGGAGCGAGACAATACGAAAGACTTCGATCTTACCCCATTCACTTCCACCAGCGCACCGGGGGTCGCATACAAAAGTCGGATCCAGGAGCGAAAGTCGGCTCCGAAACCGGTCACCGAAAGTACAGCCTCCAGAAATCGATGGTCAACCCTATCGAAGGCCTTGACTGATCTAAATTGATCAGCGCGGCTTCACTGTCGACTTGTTCTAAGATCAAGCGTACTATATGAAGGTTATCCTGAATAGTCCTACCCTTCACAGCACAAGTCTGTTCAGGGCCAATCAGACGAGACAGGACAAGCTGCAAACGGTTGGCTAAGATCTTCGCCAAAATCTTTAAGTCAGTATTTAACATCGTTAAAGGGCGAAAGTTCCCTAACCCATCCCCACCGTCCTTGTCCTTACGCAGCAACTTGATCACACCCCTGGTGAAGCGTTGAGGTAAAGACCCCTGTCTCATCCAGTGGTTGAAAAATCAGTTCCAGCAAAGGAACAAAACGTGCGACAACCTCAAGTAAACTTCGTAGGGAAGACCATCTAATCCCGGAGACTTATCCAGGCCAACCTGCTTCAGCGCTTCCCAGATTTCCGACTCTGTTATGGGACCCCTCGCACCTAGCCACTTCAGCTGCCGAGAGGCAGGGAAAATCAGCTAAATAGGCGTCGAACTGAGCAGAGCTCAGACCGGGCTCCCTGGTGAAAAGATCCTGAAAGTAATCCCGAAAGACCTCACATATGCCCGTGTTTGTAGTCACGGTCCGCTTATCCGGTAATGTGACGCACGCTATATGTCGCCTAGACGCGTTTCGATTCTCCTCTACACGCAGTTCAGCGGCCATATTCGTAGCCTCAGAAGACATTCTTTTTACCTAGCCCTAACTACCAGAGCTTGATCCTTCTTGATAAGCAAGGAGGCCAACTCTGCCTTAGCTAAATCTATGTCTCCACTAACACGGGATTTCACTGCCCGATCGACTTTATTTTCTAAAGCAGTTTGCGCCGCTAATCTATGTAGATTGAGTGGACGACTAAAATCGGCAGCAAACGTTCGAATTTTAGATTTTAAATTGCCCCACCAGGCATTTCCCATAACCGCCCCCGTCAATTCCCTTTTTTTACAGCTGGTCCCGGAAACCCTGATCAAAAAAGTGAACAGTTCAATTTCCAGTAGCCAGCCAATCTAACCTTAGGCTTATCTAAGTTTACACGGACCCGGACCAGCCTATGATCCGTATAAACTATATAATGGAAACTTGGACACCCTAAGAGCCCTACATCGACTCTCCTAACTAACACTCGGTCCAGGTAGCTCGCAAGCGACCCAGGAGCCGAGTTGCCACTAATTGTCCAAGTCCATGCTACCTCCCGAGGGTGTTCATTCCGGAACTTATCGACGAGATCAAACCCATCGATAAAGTCCCGAAATGGTTTCACATCCGGGTTGTTAGTACCTTGTTTTTGCCCTATACGATCTATATCGGGGTCAAGGACGGCATTCCAATCCCCGCTAAAACTACTCGACGAGATGTCGTCAAGAACGGCGCGATCTGCCGAAACAAAGCAGGCCGCTCGGCATGGTTATTGGGCGCATAAACCCCAATGAGACGTAGAGCGCAAATCCTTTATGGTAACATCCATGCAGCCTTCAAAGACCA